TCTCTCTCTCTCTCTCTCTCTCTTTGTGCCCCCTCTTCTCTTCTTCAGGCAAGAAACTGCCCTCCAGGTCACTGACACACGGTGCAGGGCTCTCTCTCTCTCTCTCTCCCTCGTGAACGAAGGCGCTTCTGACAGCCAGGAATGTGGTGCGGCCAAGAAAGTGGCGCAGCCAAGAAAGTGGAAACATAAGAAAGCCACTCACCAATGTCTTGCTACACTACCATGGTCACCAAGAAAAAAAGAAAGGGGTTGAATTTGTCCACGGTCTAGTGGAAAATTCATTCGCCTTTCGCACATTTGCTGAGGAGTGGAGAACGGGCCCAAGTAGGGGAAAGGAATGAAACTCAACCCAGAACATGGAAAGGTACGTCGCTACTTATTTGCCAAGGCTCTGAGCCCCCCAGCCTTGGTCCAGAACTGAGCCTACTCACTCAGCGAGGACCCGACCCCCTTGTGCAGATGTGTTGTAAATGAATACAATGCACGGTATGCGTTGTATTCATTTACAACGCATATGCCTTATGTTCGGGGGAAGACGGTAGCCGGGGGGGGGAAGGAACCGCACTGCTGCTCCTCAAAAGAGAGGGCTTTCGTTACGATTGTCTGGCTATTATTGTCCGGCTATTTCGAGAGAAAGAAAGGGGGAAAAAAAAATGTCTGACTATCAGTGGATATTACTGGATGAAAGTTGGTAAAAAAATTTACTGGGAGGATAAAAAGAAAAAGAAAACAGTCCGAGGGGCAGACCCATCAGGACTATATTCAGGGAACGAGAATCTGAACCTGGACGCTATTACGGCCATGTCATTCTGCTCAAGAATGAACATAGCACCAGTGGCGCCTGCCCCTGAGGTTGGAAATCCCTGAATGAGCACACAGGGGCCCAGATACACGGCGCGTATACCGTTTACCTGTGGCACGACTGTGAAATTCACGGTGCGATACAGTACCGGATGTGTACTGTTCTTACATGCACACAGGTGGAGTGCACTGGGTTGCCCGCAACCGTGGGCATGCTTACAGGCACAATTTTCATTTTTATTTTCCCCCTTCCACTCTGCAGGTGTGTGTGCACGCGCGCGCGCGCATGTGTGTGTGTGTGTGTGTGTGTGTGTGTGTGTGTG